CATGCAAATAAATACGAGAAAAGAAAAGGAAAAATCTAAAACCCAAATCGTGAGCCACTCGCCAGCAGATACCACTGCGAAGCAGTCTCATGGCGAAAACCTGAGGGAGGGAAAATAGAAAAAGCAAATCGGGAAGTGAAATAAAATATAATAGAAATGGTCTCAATATCAACGTGCTTCAGTTTATCTCCCAATTCCTCCCAATCAGGCTTCATATCGAGACCCTCAATTCATCTGAAACCTCTCTATTCTGTTCCTAGAATCCGAACACTGCATTTTCCCGGAATTACCAGGAAAGTTCCTAGCTCTAGGGTTCTGGTGAGGGCTAGCATCGATGCAGTTAGCGCAGTTAGGCCTGGAGGCTCTGTGGAGAGTGATAAATTGCCGTCAGACGTGCGAAAACGAGCGATGGATGCGGTCGATGAGTGCGGAGGGAGGGTTACGATTGGGGACGTGGCTAGCAAAGCCGGACTTAAGCTCAACGAAGCTCAGCGAGCACTGCAGGCTCTGGCTGCCGATACTGATGGCTTCTTGGAGGTATCCATTTCAGTTCTCAGTCTTTTTTTTTTCTTGGGGGGGGAGGGGGTTGGTTCACATGAGTTGCTTGGAAATTAATGCAATAAAGTCATTTTAAGTTATAAGTGAGCAGTGCCGCGGCGAATTAAGCTAGTTAAAGTATAACTACATAAAGGTTAACTGGATTGAAGGGGATGAAGCGTGCTTCTGCACAGAACTGATGGAATTAAATGGTCAAAAGAGACAGATAACTGATGCTGTTGAATTCTTTTGAAGCATCGATTTAAATAGTTGTAATGGTGACATTCAGTAAACGATCGAAAGGTTCTCTGAACTTAATTTCACATTTGTTCAATAGGATGTTAATTATGCTTGGGAAACATTAAATTGTTATTATCATTCTTCATTGACACTAACATATGGATTGGCAGATATCTGTATTGAAATGGGTTCTTTTAGGATATTCTGAAACCTTACCTTGTGATAAATTCTTGAGTTATTAAATTTCTGTGGAAACTGGCCAGTTAACTAAATTTTACTAGTTTGCTTATCTTGTAACTGTCTCTGATTGTCAATATAGAAGTTCCTTAAGTGGTTATTGTGATATATGCTTCCACAGATTTGAGAGGGAACTTGTTGACATCTTTATATAGGTATATTTTTCAGCCATTTAAGTTCTTAATTTGCAATACAAACATCTTCAAGATGGTTTTGACAGGTCTCAGATGAAGGTGATGTCCTTTATGTTTTCCCAAAGGACTATCGTGCAAAGCTTACTGCCAAGTCATTTAGGATGAAAATTGAACCCTTGTTTGAAAAGACAAAGGTATTCATGCTCATTACAATCTGCAATTTTAGGAAAGAAACTGGCCATTTTCGTAGAGAGTGGGTGTTATTCTGATATTTTCTGTATTTGGCAGGCTGTTGCAGAGTATTTAGTTA